ACCCAGACCCTTTTTACAAATTGCTGGGCTGGTGCTTGTTAGGTGTGCGATGCTCTTTAGACTCCTTGCTCAACCAGAGAAACAAAATCAACGAGAAAAAAATCGTTCCTCTCATTTCACATCTTCAAATCTTCAACTAAATAGCTGTCAGATACTCCAAAGGTCCGACAGACATACCTTTGAACTGTAATCTTGACTTTGAAAAGTGTCTTTGTTGATCTTGAAGTAAGAGCCTTCGACTGTGAGACTTGAAAGTGGTCTCAAGTATGCCCCATATTGACGTGGCACAGTCTATAAACCTGCATACGATGGAGACGCTTCTAATAATATCTCATTTGTCTGTCTACCTCAAATTATGATAAGTAGGTTAGAAATTATACAAGGTACAATATTACTTATACCTTTAATATAAAGGCATAGATTCATTATTGTTAGGTATGTTATAAGCGACACACACATTTATTACGTCCTCAATTATTTTACAAATTCCCGGGCTCCGCCACGCACATAGATCATCTATCACCAATCACCATAGACCATACTATGACCATAGAGTATACCACAGATACACAACAATTATTAAGTTCAATTTTATCTCAGTGAAATGTTATGTGTTGACAACACTATAGAATACACTAGGGAAGATGACGAGGAATGGATATTAAAATTATATTTAGTCCGTAAGTTAGGTAAAGAAAAAATATTAGACACGTATTTTTTATTTTGTCGAATAAATAAACTATACTTAGATAAAACGAATCGAAGTTTAGGAGCTAAAACATCGCTCCTACACATAAAACGTACCTAGAAGTGACGTCACGAGATTTTTCAAATCAATACATCGTCGAAAGCATTTGTTTCCGTAAGAAAGTAAGAAATATACGTGCCTTATTATATGTTTTTAAATAATCTACCAGACGGACATTTAAATAAAAATGAGTCTTCTACCCTAATTTAAAGTCCAATTTCATTTTACAAGCTTCTATTTATTTCTCCTGTTCTCCCAACGGATGTAATAAGAACTGATTAAGGATTTTTTTTATGGCTTAAGCCGGTAAACGAGCAGACGGATCACCTGATGGTAAGCAATCGGCGTCGCCCATAGATACCTGAAACTCCAGTGGCGTTACAAGTGCGTTACTGGCCTTTAAGGAATTTGAAGATTGTGGGGGATTTGGGGATTGGGGAGACTGGGGAGGTAATTGGTCTTCGGGAACATCACTTACACCACAAAACACAATGCAAGCGTTGTTCCACGTCGGTTTTCAGTGAGGCCGTGGTATCACTCCGGTCGAGCCGGCCCATTCGTGACAGAGCTTGGCTCTTAAAAATCATCATGCAATAGAAACATTCCTTATAACCTAAGGATCCCCAAAAGAAATGAGCAATACATTTATTTATTATGAATATTGTTATTAAGTATGTACATAATAATCATGTGAAAATAAACGTTATACCGTTTATGAAAGAAAAATAAGCAAAAGCCTATAATGCGGAGGAAATGAGTTGTTTTCGTGAATTCGGCAGACAAACAGTGTCTGTTGGTGCTAAAGTATTTTTGATGTAATAAAATATTAATCTATGGAAGTTTGCTAAGTTAAAAAATATGATAGGAGTACGTACGTATTCATTTAAAACGTGACAACATAGTTTTATATGCATTCACACTATAGTAAACACAATAAGAGTGCAGAAGCCAGTATATCATAGTCTCTCATTATAATAATCTGTCCGCATATTCGAGGGTCAACATATACTGGTTTTTTCAAAGCATGATGTGTTGCCATGTACGAGTACTTCAACAGGACATTGTGCTAACTGCAGTCTGCTTCATGTAAATTAGCTCAGAATTCCAAGCTTTAGAATGAATGTATGTTCTGTTGAATGTTCTTTGAGAATATTCTTTAATGAACTGTGGTGTAGTATTGACATATTATATGCTTGATTTCTTTGAATGTTTCTACTGAAGTCTGTCTATGATTGCTACTACTTCTTTGTTCTTTTGTAATCCTTTCTTCTGAAGTTTGCAATGTTTTGTACGTTCCTGTTATTCAGAATTGTTTGCATGCCAGATGGTAGAATGAACCAGAAACAAAATATCTTTGTAAGATTTTTATAATAACTATCATGAGACATACTAAATTAACTCAAAATCGTGGGTTACTCACGTGAATATACTGAGAAAAGCTCTACTAGTTTCGCGTAGGCTGCATGACATCGCCGCGACGGCGTAAGCTGCTCATGAGGAAAAATCTCTCTGTGGTTCGAAACATAGACCAGGAGCCCCGTAGTTTAGGGGCCCCATGGACCAGGGGTCCCATGGACCAGGGGCCCCGTAGTCCAGTAGCCCCGTAGTATAGTTAAAAAAGATACGGCGATAAAAAACACAAGTTTCCAAATAAATACAAATTTCCTATAAAATAGGCTACAGATTAAACCATCTGCCGAAACTAGTCTCAAACATCTTCTTGTTTTCTTTGCTAACGGAAATTTGGCCGCTAGATCAATGTTCATTAAGGTGATCATCAATCACTTTTTGTTCCAATTTAATTTCACGATTCATTTGTTACGACTTTCTTCTTATTTCTCCGTATTATTGTTTAGGTAGCCTTATTTGTTCAGTGGCTATAGGCTTTATTAAAGTAGTTAGTTTTATGTCTATCTCATTGGCCGAGTGGTCGCAATTGCGACTACTGCGATTCCGGGGTCGGGCAAAATAATAATGAGTTAAAAAAACTTAGTAGTAACACTGAGTCTGGAAGAGTGTCCGGTATATGGTAATACGCTCACCCCCTATTACATGGCTCATATCATAAATAGTAAAATGTGGGTGTTACATTGTATAGAGGCATTAAGTGCCGTAATTTGCCCTCTGCCTATCCCTTCGGGGATAAAAAGCGTGATGTTATGTATATGTATGTTAGTAATTTTTTTAGGATATTATAATGATCGCCTTATATCCAAAAAGAAACCACAGATTCATAATCCATTCCTAATCATGCACTGAAACCGACCAAGCATAAAATATAACTGTACGACTGCTTATACATTTCACACTCATACATATGTATTACGTAATGTACGTAGATATATTATAATACCACCTTTTTCAGTAACTCTTCTACTTAATGTAAATGACAAGGTCGTCTCAAGGTCACACACTTGAATCCAATGTATGGAGATAGGAAAGCCTCGAAGCCATTCTTCAGTCGTTTCAGTGCTTATTTAGATGATAGGTGTATTTTTCAGCGGTGATTTATGTATTATTTTTAAGTGTGAGTTTAGTTTTTAGGTATTTTGATATAAACCTGCTATGAAGGTGGTTTTTTGCTAGCTATGTAGCATTTTATGGTCTCATTTAAAGTTTCTTTCGCCTCGAGTTATGAGATTGAAAATATTACTCAAGTATTGCAGATTTAAAATTCTCTTTAGTATCCCGAAAACTGTTGTGACTTTCACATTACATTAGACAAAATAAAATTCATGTGGCTTACAATGCATTCTTCATTCATCATTTGAGTGTGGGCGAGCCATGCTTCGGTACGAATCGGTCGGTTCGACCGGAGTGATTCCACGGCCTCAAAGAAAACCGACGTGAAACAACGCTCGCATTGTGTTTCGTGTCGTGTAAGTGAGGTTACCGGGGGCCTAATTATCCCCCCCTTCCCAATCTCCCCAATCCCTGAATCTCCAACAATCTTCAAATTTCTAATCCTCAAAAGGCCGGTAACGCACTTGTAATCGACTCTGGTGTTCCAGGTGTCCATGGGCGACACCGATTGCTTATCATTAGGTGACCCGTCCGCATGTTTACCGGTTTATTCCACAAAAAAATCATTAGGTATTAATTCAAAAATTTAAAAAACGCGATAACATTCGGAATCTTTTTTTTTTTAAACAAAATTAATTAAAGAAAAGAGGACATTCCATTTGCGTAAAAATAAATTAAATCGAACAAAGTAATTCAGGCACTGGAAGCATTCCAAAAGAGTCAGCTGAAACAGGCAGTAAATTGAACAGCTTTCTCTTTACATATACCAGTACCTAATATAAGTAACTAGACTAAACTGTAACGTGACGCGGATTCGATTCCCGCCTTAAGCAACTCTTTGTATGATCCACAGATTGTTGTTTCGGGTCTGGGTGTCATGTGTATGTAAACGCACCCACGGTACAGGAGATATTTTTTATTGACTCTAGGATTTTACTCTTAAAAAGAACAAGATAATAAATGTTTGAACTTGATAGTATGACTCTATCTGAAGTCTAATCCTTAGTAATTTTAAAAAGCATACACCCATCTAACCATGACAAAGTACCAGCCACTTACTGTTCCACTTCGCTTACCCGTCAAAAAGCGTTTTCATCTTGTATATAGAGAAGTATAAAGAAGAAAAAGATAACAGGAATAAGGAAAATAAGGCATACATCTTAATAAAAAGCCTCTCGATCCATTACTGTTTACTAACTTGTCTTAATCTAGACAATCTAAGATTTCCTTATGAGATAAACTTACTCCAAGTTTTTTATGCTTCTTTCTACTTTGTTAGTTGCTTTAAGTTAGGATATTTTTATGATTTACTAGCTGTTACTCGTGACTTCGTCCGCGTAGACTATGATTTCTGTTTTATCCCATGGGAGCATTTAATCGGGATAAAAAGTATCTTTATTAAACATAACAAGAGTCTTTAAATCTAATGGAATTATGCCAGACTCATCGCGACCATGAGAATTATTATAGTAGCGAGAAATATTAGGATCTGTCCAAACTACACACGAACTCATAAATACTTAACATAAATAATAAACTTTCCTAGAAACATTGTAGTTAACTGAGGATTTAATATCGAGATAGCGATACTATCTATCAATAAGCAGTATTCTATTTCAAATATAAATGACTCTCCGAAACCTATTTCTAGGTACCTAAGACCATAAAACTACAGTAAAAGAAACCAAACCAACATAAGACAAGTATTAACAAAACCTAATTGTTTCAGAAAGGAAAACTTTCCTGCATCCGTACCGAGTCTGAATCCGGATCGGACAAGATGTCGTTACGACAATCAGCTTCGAAACAGACGTCTAAAAACTCGACAGCACACAGCGACTGCTCATCGCAAGACCACAAATGCCCCTGCTGCTTCCGACCAGAGAAAAAGAAGAAATACAGGACAAAAGAAAAAGAATCTCGATTCTACAACAACGATGTTACTTTCAAAGCGAACTTTAAGTATAAAAACACTACAAGACGGACGCATTCAATGAAAGAACATGTAGAGAATAATCGAGTTTCTTCTTTAAGAAGAGAGACGAAAACTGCGCAGACTTTGAGCCTTGTGGTCGGAGGGTTTGTTGCCTGCTGGCTCCCTTTCTTCCTATACTATCTCCTGACTCCATTCATTCCAAGCAATTATGTTAATCCAGTCCTAATGTACATATTAACATGGCTAGGGTGGTTCAATTCAGCAATAAATCCTTTCATATACGCTTTTTATTCACCTGATTTCAGAGTAGCTTTTTGGAGGCTCACAATAAAAAAATGTAAGAAGAATAAGCGTTAGGAAAATGTATCATTTCAATTCAATGTAGGAATAAGATTCAGATCTGTATAGAAGATTCGATTGATACTGACAACGTCTGCTGAACGATCGAATTTCGTTTCTAAAGAAATGGGATACGTTTCAAATTGATTTGCATTTGGTTTTTGTTTCTAGCAGTAATCGTTACCATCTTTCAGTATTTACAGGCTACTGTTGAAATATTATTCGATTTCTTTAGATGTTTTTGTAAATCAGTTTGGGACTTGTTCACAAAAAGACGTTATTTATATTATTAAAAGGTTTCATTTAGCTTGCCTAGTTTATTTGTTTGTTTGTTTAGGTCTTGGCCCTTCCCAAGTTATATCAAAAAACTAATTACCCTGGCTGAATACTAATATTAGTCCTTGATGTCACTTTCGTCCCTCGAGGCTAACCACTATGGAAGTTTGCCGGTCTCTTTTTACCCCCTTCCTGATCACAAATCGGTCTGATATTGTATTTTTTATTATTTTCACAATTACCTCCATTATTTATTTATTTATTTAATATTACATTTCAGTAAAGTTTTAAAAATTTTTTTGCACCATTAAGCCACAGCTGGTTTGTATTGGTACTCACATTCGCTTAACAAGTTTTATGTTATAAATGTATTATGGATATTAAACATAATAACGTAATTGGTAGAATAGGGCTCACTAAAACCGTCTATCGTGGTGGCCCGGAGGTTTAAGACGTCCGCTTCTCATGCACGAAGCTGCAAGTGCGTGCTGCGGGTTCAAAACCTACCAATGTCAAGCACCAGTGTGACTTTTTCCGAGATATATGTACTTTCTAAGTTTATTTAGACACCACAGACAAACGGTGAAGGAGAAACATCGTGAGGAAACCTGGACTTATAATTTCAATTTACAAGTTTAAAATCGCCAACCCGCGTTGAGCAAATGTTGTGATTAATGCTCAAATCTTCTCCGTGTAAGAAAAGGCTTGGCTGAGCAGTAAGCATTTATTGGCTGATGATGTGATGGGAAAACAGTTTAGTCAACATAAACAAATATTTTATGTAGTACTTGTTGTCATTTTATTTGGGACATTTTCTGCTTTATTAGTTCCTTTATCTTTGTTCTGAATGTGTAATAAACGTAAGATAGTTTTCTGTGATATGAGGTTTTATATAACATATTACAACCAGGGTAATGACATTTTACATAAAATGAAATTGGGAAATTGCTGGTGGACCATAAAAAGTTTGTGTCGCTCCGTAAAATTTGAAATTCTCTGAATTATTTTGTCTATGCCATGTTATAGGTCAAATGTCTACTAAATATTTCTGTTGCTAAGTACATACTTTAAGTAATTAGAAAATTAATTTAGCTTCAGTATCTTTGTGATTAATTATCTGAAAGTTTTCTAAAGAGGATTCATTTAAAAGTGTATTCATTTTATAGTTTAAGTTTAAAACCAAAGAAAAATGTTTAAAGTGTCATATTTGTTTAAATTTTATAACTTTTGTTCCCATTAAAATTATATGGCAACAAATATCCTAGTTTTTGTGTAAAAATATAACTGAACATAATAACAATGCACAAATTGTTCAACATTTTAGCTCAATGGTCGCTCACATAGTTTTAATTGTCAATTTTAATTAATGTATAATGATTTTCAAAACATATAATGTATAAATAACTAAATTTAATGAAGAAATATAAAAAATGTAAAGCAATGACAATAGGGTAGATGCCTAATTTATATTTTAATGTCCGTCTGGTAGATTGTTTTAAATCATTAGACACGTATTTTTTTATTTTCTGATAGAAACGAATACTTTCGACTATAATGTATACTGATTTGAAATGTCGCGTGACGTCACTTCTATGTACATTTTATACGTAGGACGTTTTAGCCACCACTCTTAAACTTTCATTCGTTTTATCTAAATATTGTTTTATTGTATAACAAAATAAAAAAATACGTGTCTAATATTTTTTCATTACCTAACTTACGGACTAATTAATTATATTTTTAATTTTCATACCCTGTCATCATCCCTATTGAAGATGGTCGTAAAAACTTATAAATACAATGTTAATAATTAGAAGTAATTATCATAGAATTAGAATGACGATTTGTAAATAAAAAACTGTTTTATACAAAAACAAATTATGTCGTCTAAGTATAGCTGGCACATTAAGCTACACTTTCTAACTGCAAACCATTTTCGACTTTATAATAATAAGGTTCAAGTTGAACATTGTGCGAGTAGCTTGATGTACTGTCTGTACTACAAACATACAAACATCGATCTCATAGGTTTAAGGTAATATTTTATCATTAAAATTATAATGAAAATTATTTTCTTTGTTTTATTTTACATCTCCGAAAAACTTATTCTAACAATACATTGACAGGTGGGGTACTACAAATTGGAAATCAGGCGTGAAGTGGCATCGGCATTATCTTCTGAAGGTTTTAAGAGGTAACATACAAAACTCTGGTAATTTAACTATACACTGAGCGAGTTCACAAGGACTACGTACTCTATAGTGTGTAAGGAAATATAGTCTGCAGTTAAAATTTTTATAAGTTTATAGTTAAATATAGTTAGTAGTTTAGGAAGCATATTTTAAGTTACTATGTCGAATTAGGTTAAGTTATCTGTAATGGCAAAGTAATTGGATTAAATAAATAATAAATAAAGGTTTAATTCAGTCAGTCTTGGAAGGTGTCGTGTGGCATAAATAGCTATTTTTTCACTGTTTTTGGGATTGAGAATTAAGGGTAACATTTAATGTATATACCTCTGTCTACCCCTTTTTAAGAGGGGAAAATCATCGAATCACTTCTCCCGCCTGGGTGAGGAGGGAGGGAGTGTGAAACTGTTACTGACTAAAAACCACCCCGTTCTTACTCCTACACTTCGAGCCGCATCCCCGGTAACCCGTTAAGTTCTCTGCGGCTCCGTATCAGCATCAGCCCTACCTATTAGCCCCATCCGTGATGGTCTGGTGGCTCCTTGAAGCACGCGCGGAACGCGATACGTCGTACGCTCGGGCCTGGTTCTAGTCAAGCGAAAAGCTCTGTCTACCCCTAAAATGAACAAAAGACTTAACCTTGTGCAAGAAACTCCACAAAAATAATAATAATAATAAATTGTACGCAAGATATTTTTTCATTAAAGTGATTACTTGAATTGCAGAATCTGACGTTTGTATAAAGGCTCTTCCACTAATGAGAAGTGGCCGACGTATTAATTATTAACGAAGAAATGTCCCAAAAGTCCAAAATGGCCACTTGTAATAACGCTTGTAAAAATAATTTCTTATTATGATGATAATGATTATAATTATTATTCAGAAATTACTTTGTTGAGTAAATTGGTTTTGGGACTGGACCCAGAATATCGGTATGATTTTATTAGTTTTTTTATGTGATAAGCTGAAAAAGGAGCAGACGGATCACCTGATGGTCAGCAATCGGCGCCGCTATGGACACCTGAAACACCAGAGGCGTTACAAGTGCGTTACCGGCCTTTTGGGAATTATGAATTTAAGGATTATTTAAGGAGATTTGGGAGGGGAGGTAATTAGGCGTCCGTCGGGTGTTCTAAGACCCTGGTTTTGTCTTTAAGTAGAATTATTTAACTATACTGCTAGCTAGCTATATTCGTAACTAAACTCTTTTTTTAAATATATCTTTTCTGCAGCTAGTCCGCTATAAAAACAAGGTCTTCTAGGAGTCTACAAATGATAGGGAATACAATACATAATTATCCGATACTCTTGGCTCCAGGGCCAACAATGTAAGGATGCAAAGCAATGTCCTTTACAACTGAAAAGTCTGTACCTATTTTTTTCTTTTTTCTTGCCACGTAACTGTTTATGTAGCAAAAAAAAGTGTTGAAAATAACATTTATTTTTTCTGCCAACTGACAGACAGCTGCTATTACTAAGCATTTTTTAATATTGTTATTTTATTTCTTTCTCTATTTCAGCATTCGAGACTTACAATGTCTAGATAACCTGAATGTTTTGAAATTGAGAACAAAAAGCAAATTGGAATTATATTTTAATTTCTATGTAAAAAAAACATAATGCTAAATTGCTAAGTTACAAAAAAGCCCAATGTTATAACAAAACAAAGACCTTTTTACAAAACAATAGTGGTACATTAATCATACTTTTCAAATACCTTTTAATAATAATAGTCCACAATTATATACACAAAAAAGGTAGAACACAATTTATACAGAACACTTACATAGGGTGATTCAGTAACTTACGTAAATGAGCATCGCATAAAGTAAATGCGAACGGGCAAATTTTAGTTTATACACCCTGTATTTTCACGAAACTAGCTCCAGTGTTACCAACATTTGGAAGTAAAAAACTACTCCTCACAAATTAACAAACAGTAGGTTTAATGAAACAGACAGGTTCTACACTATTCTCATATTATTATAATTAAGAAATCTTCTTTATTAATTTTTTCTTATGAGATAAGCCGGTAAGTGGGAGGGGGGGGAATTGGGCGTCCGGTAACCTCATTTACACGACGAAACACAACACAATATTGTTTCACGTCGGTCTTCTGTGAGGCCTTGGTATCACTCCGGTCGAGCCGGCCCATTCATGCCAAAGCATAGCTCTGCCACACGGCAAACATTCATGAGGAAACCTAGACTTTATAGTTTCTAATTATATATTTGGAATCGCCGACCCGCATTAAGCAAGCGTGGTGATTAATGTTCAAACATACTCCGTGCGAGAAGAGACCGTTGTTCAGCAGTGACCACTTAAACTGTCAAACACCAAGCGGTCACCGGTGACCGCAAGCTATTGTTCTATAATTGTGTCTATAATGACGGTACTCGACGAGTTAAGGCTATTGATGATAATATTATAGGTTTTTGGTTAAATGTTATTAACTACTGTCTCCTGTTAGACAATTGTTGTGGGTTTTTTTTGCCTTTATCGATAAATAAGACTATCCGATACAAGAATAATTATTCAATTCGGATTAGCGAG